CTTAAATTGTCGTTGCAACAAACAACTTTTGCAGATAGAATATCTATGATAAAAAATGATTCTTTTTGCTGATTTTGAAAAATATTCCATTGCGCATGTATTATTGTGAAATAGAATCCTTTTCAGGATTTCTTCAAGTTCCTGCTCAGTTTTTTTTTATCAACTAAGAATAAAGAATTCTGCTATGATTCATTCTCGATCCTATTCAGACCTTTGGTAGTAATAATAGACTCAAATATAGTAACAGTTTACCAAGTTTTTATCAGGATCGTCTCAAGAGTTACAAGTAAATCAGACGAAGATTCTATAAGGAATAAAACAAGATCAGTAAAAGTGCAAAACTGATGAATCCTAAGGGTGCGAGTGAAGAGAACATTCTCCAACGCACACCCACACCAGCATTCTCATTCAACTTTGAATGAGTAAATCTAATAGAGAACTAACCTTGGATCAAAGTTATCCAATAATTTCATTGATCAATTCTCTCCATGAGATCCTTTGGATTCGATAATAAAGGCAGTATCAGATATTCTATTAACGTCTTCAAATTCAAATTAAATTGTCGGTTTTTCATTGTGAAGCTTTCAATGATGTCATAAAAAAAAAACAATCAATTGAACTGTCGGACAACAATACAGACAAGATTGAACTAATGAAATCTTCTAGAAAAGAGAAATATCATGTGACAATCTTTGATTCTTTCGTGATTATATTCAATTATTCCATACAAACTGCCGATTTGATCACAAATCACAAATCAAACTTTTCATTTATTCTATATATGACTAATAAAAAACAAATTGAGAGGTGACAATTTCAAGTTGAAGCTAGTCACATTGATAGTAGTATACAGATTCTAAGTAGTTCCATTTTGCAATCGAATCTTCGCTGTGTATCTAATCATTTCATCTTCGAGACATTCTTTCTGAATGAAGTGAAAACTTTCGTTCAAATATCATTTATTGAATCATTTTCTTGTGAGAAAATCGGTTTGAGTCGAACTATATAGAGCTGAGTGTCATCGGTAGCAGCAGAAATCTGTATGTTCAACGGATGTTGATCGATTCGAAGGGCATCATGTTTTATCATTTGAATTCCATTGTTTGTCACTACTTGTCCTTGACCAACGACGATAAACACGATTTCATTAGTGTTATCCAAAACATTGATCGTCTTCTCTTGTTTAGCTGTCATTTTGACACGTTCAACATCATGTCGAAATTTAGTGCGTCGTGTCATCACATTAAAATCAGTCAATGTTTCACTGTGTAATTGACAAGTGATAGATAATTCACCAGGAAATGAATAAGGCAACGAATCTTGATTGAGATAAATCATATCATCGCTATTATTATTGAGCATCAAATAGAGTTCGTGCTGACTCATAACACACAGAGTTCGATCAATGCCAGGAAAAATGGAAAACGGACCACCAGGAGGTTTCACTTGTGCTATACTTAATCGCCAATCAAAGTCTTCATGTTCATTGTTCGGCACACGAGCAATCTCACTAGTAATTCCACCTCCATTCTTCCACACCATCTGTTTGTGTTCATTGGCTCGAAGCAGCATCATCGTTCTTCTAGAAGAAACAGAAAACAAGTAGAACTATTTCTGTATAGAAGAAAATTACACTTACTTGGTAAGCTAGATGAAAATAGTATATTCGATTGCAAAATATATGTCTTTTTATGAGTAAATTATTGCCAAATGAAAGAGTAGTCATTGATGCAAGTGTGTCTTCGTTGTTGTTTTTTTTCTTTCATACGTCGCTTACACGCAGCAGAAAAAGAAAACATGTGATAAACGCACACCTGTACAGTATTAGTACGTATGTCACTTTATTTGTTTATTAAAGGAATGTAGAGAGAGACGAAAAAAAAGCTATTCAGTATGAGCTGAAAAGGTAGGAATAGACTTTAACGAACTTCGCCTCTGTAGTCTTATAAAAAAAACCAGATGAGAGTATTTTACCATCATGTAAATACAATTAAGAAAGAAATACACTTTAGATAAAGGCAGCTTGTAGAAAAGAACAGACAAAGATGATACATAATTAAATCGTTACTAGTCATCACTCATAATTATTATAAAAAGTAACAATAGGTAAAACAAGGAGAAAAACACAAAACTTGATCAAATAGAGATAAATTACAAGACAACAATAGCTTTCGTATACGATTTTATGTTCTTTCTTTAACTACAAGTTTATACTTTTTCCTTCACTAGACAAGGATTCAAGAAATATTCTTTCAAGAATAGCAGATATAGCTTCTGTTGGATAAAATCAGTAATGATCGAAGGATTACTATGAGTAATTGTTGGTAAAAATTTTATGAAATGCATCTGTGCGAGTAATTCGATTGATTTATAAGTGGGAAAATTAGTTATTTCGTCATTTGTAACATCATTCATAATAGATTGATAGTATGGACGAATATACAGTTGGGGACAAAAGTTTAAGTGAAATTAGTTTTTCAGTATTTTTTTTCATATTATCAGATACGGATCTGATTCAAACGGTGAGATAGATAGTATAAGAGGCCAGCTACATGATGTATTATAGAACGAGACTCTATCTGCCTATATAGATTTTTCATAATTAAAATTTTTTTTTTTCATGCAAAAATAGATTGAAGTGCTTTCCAGTATTTCGCATTTCCTAACCAAGAGAGTTTTTTTAAAATAAAAAAAAAAATATATCAATCGATAGAGAATTTCACGCTCTATCAGTTTATAAAAAAAATTCCGTTTCTAGGGTTGATCTTCGCCTCGAAAATCCGATCAAGCATAATAAAAAAAAATAATCAGTTCTCTTTCAAATTTATCTTTGATGAAAAAAACCAACGACGAAATAATTCACACATATGAGAGGTATAAAAATAGTAAAAGAACGACCTTCGAACGACTATAAAAGATACTGCATCAAGCAAGCAAACGAGCAAACATCATTGAATTGCGCCTTTGACTACACATAACATAGAAGTAAGTTTATCTTCAACGCTTTTTTTCCAAATTTAAACAAAAAACATTTCAAACATTCATATTCAACGGTTGCTACGATTGAAAATACATGTAAGTTTTTCTTAAGTATTATTACAGAAAAATGTCAACGACAATGACGGTCTCTTTCATTCATTACCCTTAAAATGAATTAATCACGTTTAGAAACTTATTTTCACCTATACAAAAAGATTCATTCTTTTTGAACGCTTTCAATCCAGAGATTTCTTTTTCTTCGCAAAGCTGACAAAAAAAATCTCGTTTCCCGTCTTTCTGTTGCGTTCTGCTTTAGATAATCAGTTGCGCATATTTTCTAGATCTGTTTGTTCCTTCTGAAAAAACAAATATTGGCAGCGAGTGACACATCGACTTTTCTGAATCCAGAGATGAGATAATATGTAGGAGATAGAAAACAACAGAACGCAAAACTTGCTCTTTTTTTGCTTTGCATGTCATCTGTGAGCTGATATTAGAATTGAAAGGTTTAAGCCTTTCTTCCTGTCAAAAATCTAGTTCCATATAAGAACAATCAATTTTTTTGAAATTTTCAGAAAATCTTTGATCAAGTCTAGAGACTTCCCAATGAATAGTTGAGCACAAACTTTTGAATTGTCGCCGGCTGAATCCGACAAGATGGATGAAATATACACTTTCGTTTGTTGCAAAATGTATCAAATACTTTCTGTTATGACATAAACCAGTTAGGTTTTTCAAAATTTATTTCTACAGTTTTAGCAGCTGGATTAAAGTTGAAACAATTACGATCATGTCTTCAACAAAAAAATCATGCCTTCGAAAATGAAACGGAAAATTTATAGTTTCTGGGTTCCATCTAATTATTAAGATTGTTTTATCTTTTTGAAATACTGAGCAAAGACAATTGACGACAATCAAGAAAGTGTCCTATTTGTCTATTTCTATTGCCAACGAGGCCTATTCAATGCAAATAAAGCAAACGCAATGCCTTCTTTTTTTTTTATAAAAAAGAATCCCAAGAAGATATGCACAATCGGCAAATTTTCTGCCTGATATCTCATAGAGTGATTCTTCTCGTTAGAATTCAACATCCGAATTTGACTCTATACTATTCCAGATTTGTAAATGTATGTCATCATCAGTAATTTCTTCCTCAGAACTTGACGATTCAAATCCCATCTGGACAAAATCATTGTCCGAACCACTTATTCCAATCAGTGAGCTATCACTATCGTTGTCTTCTACATCAATTTCATCAATCGACATATAATTCATAGCAAAAATTATCTGAAAGACAACGCATATATACGCATCTTAACATCATAAAAGGAGTTTATATAGCTTAAAACGCATTAATGGCGCATGTTTTGAATGGAAATCACATGACCACAGGAATTGCATATTAAATTGTAATAAAATTAGAATATGATAGAGACAATCATAGGAATAATCGAATAGCCACTACTTTCTTTCTCTATCTCCCTCTCCTTTTTTTTTTCGAAGAAAAAACAGTTGTTTTTAGACACACGAGAAAAGAGCCAAAGAGACGACAAAGAAAAGAAGACAAGAAAAAAGAAGTTGGAGTTTTACCTCTTCTATCTCATTTCAACTGCACAAGATGCGCGAGAAAGAGAACAACAAAGTTGATAAATTATACTGTTCGTCGAGAAATGAAATTGTGCATGTGTTATAACAAACAGAAAAGAGAAAACAACGAGCGAGCACAGAATGAAAAAGCCAACCAGTGCTTTTATCGAAAGGCAAATGCACATGAAAATGAATCTCTTACAGCTACTCTCTGATAACATTGAATAGGGTCGAATGTGATAAAGTATCTTATACAGATCTATCTTACAAAATTTCTTCATTCTTTTGTTTTACTCCTTCTAGCCAAAACATTTCTGTTAAAGAAAAAACACATTTTCTAGTAGACTTTTATATTGAGATCTACATCAATATTTCTAACTACCACGATTAGTTTTATTTTTCATTTCATATTTGTTGATGTCATTAATTAGATAATGAATCAAACATCAACAAAGATATATCAAAATCCAGTTGAATTACGTCGTGATATCCGTTTAGGTCAGTTTACTTCTACAACAAGCAGTCAATGTCCAGGTTACATACAAGCAAACATGGTCATTTTACCGAAAACAATTGCCAATGAGTTTCTTCAATTTTGTCAGTTGAATCCAAGAGCATGTCCTCTTTTAGAAGTCTTACCACCGGGTTCATACGCACCCACTCAAGTCGCTAAAACTGATGTGGATATTCGAACGGATTTACCAAAATATCGTGTTTATCGAAATGGAGAATTGATTACAGAAGTAAGTGATATAAAAGATTATTGGAATGATAACATGGTTACTTTTCTACTTGGTTGTTCATTTTCATTTGAAAATGCATTACAACAACATGGAATTCGAATTAAAAATATCGATCAAAACAAAAATGTAGCTATGTATAAATGTTCAAAAATTAAATGTAAAGGACCTTTTGAAAATGTTACACTAATCGTATCAATGAGACCAATACGAAATGATCAAGTTAATTTAGCCGAACAAATAACAGGTGAACAAAGATTTGAAAAAACACATGGTAAACCATTGTATTGCGGTTATGATTATATGGAAAAGTTGGGTGTTAATCAAGATTTGAATCAAGTTGATTTTGGTGATTCGGTAGAAATTGATCAAGGAACAGAAACACCATGTTTTTGGTATTGTGGTGTAACAGGAATTATGGCTGCAATTGAAGCGAGCAAAATAGCACAAGAAATATGTATAACACATTCTCCAGGACATATGTTGGTTACTGATGTGAAAGATAATGACGAAGTTTTGCAATAAAATAGAGGTGCATCCATTTTAAAAGCATATTTATTTGAGCATATTGATAACTAATAATAAAACTTTGTAAAGCAGAAGACCTGCGAAGAGAAGTTGAGAAACGCATCGATGCTGTTTTCTAAAAAATTCTGAATCACCATAAAACACTGCAACGAATTATATATCTTGTAGCAAAGAAAAAATTCTTATAATATTATGCCTATATCTCCCTCATATATAATTTTTTGAAAATTTGCTCTATAATCAAGAATGTTATCTATCCTTGTGTGATTAAAATGCAGCGTATTAGCATTAGTCGAAATAACAAAAAAGTACTTGATGACTTTTCATCAGCAATACATATATTAATTTTTCTACGTTTTCAAGTGTAAATATTTGCTGCTTTCTTAAACACATCAAATAGAAAATTTTCCTCAGACACGTGTCAACTACACAAATGTTGTTCTTTAATGAAGTTCACTATCAAAAGATCAACTTTTGGTTGAACTAAATAATACTCGAAAGATAAAAGTAATTTAAAAATTTCAGATGCAGATAATCAATGCAACAAAGTAAAATATCACGCAAAACACACACTGATTTTCATTAAAACCATTCTTGATCAAGTCTTCGCTTTGCATATATAGGAATCTAGTTTGGAAATTATTTACAAATTATCGCCAACTATGTATATCTACATTCTTTACTTTATGAATCAAGTTATTGTTTTGTATTTTCTATGACATGCTTTTTTTCAGCAAAACCTAGAATAAAAGAAAAAAATTCATATAGAAGCTGTTTTTTTTGCTAAATAGTCTCGCAAGTCCTTCTGGCGACAAGTGGAATGATATGAAATGCCGAGCTACCTTAGTTTTACATTTGACTAAAACCAGATAATAAAAAGCAATCATTTCATTATGTCTTTTCTCTCCACAAAAACAGGAAATCTCGTATTCATTGAACAGTATATTTCATCAATCCATCAAAAGATGAACTTTGCCCATATTTGGCATAGATAACTACGTCTTTTGATCCGACTCTGATTTGTCTTTGTAGAATAGGATCTTTATAACCTTCATTACTGAGCAATTGAGAATCAACAGTCAAATTGACACTTTTAGCACCTGGAATAACACAATGAATTGGAACAATAGAATCTTTCTTTAATATTCCATCCATCGGCGTATAGATTTGACATTTTTCAGCTTGAAATTTATTATAAGTCACGGGAAACTTCATTGGTCGTTGAAGTCTTCTAACCTCAAGATTGAATTTGACCACTACATTTGATGAAGATTGATTATCCTTAATGTTTTTCGCACAAACAATGAGCTCATGTTGACCTGCTCGTTCAGGTGCAAATAAAAGTTGCCAAAGTTTTTTTTCATTATTAAATTGAGCTAATGATCCATTTTCAACTTTAACATTATCATATTTGATATCACATGAAAGTTGAATATTATCAGGTGCTTTTATAAGAATTTCAGCATAAGATGCATTATCGGGCCAAATAGCACTTGAACGATTTCGTGGTGCTTCAATTCGAAGATCAAGGTCGTGAAAGAGTTGCCATGTGAAAGGATAAGACATGGGTGGTAATGGAATGTGTTTAGCTTCGATTTTGAATGCAAGAGCTGTTATATAAATTTCAGGATCAGTTTTTTTCTTAGCCATAATAAGTGCTTCAAAAAGACCATTTCGATCAGGTGCAAATTTACATCGCCAGATATTTTTTCGTCGATCATAATAAACTTGTTCTCCACCCATGACTTCTTGTTTTCGTTCATTCTGAAGATGTCCACGAAGTTCAACATTTTCGGGTGTTTTTATTAGAATTTCTGAATACTTATCTCCATTATTAAGTTTAATTAGACATGTATTTCGAGGAGAGATCACTTCCAAGTCGAAGTCAGAAAAGTTCTTCGATATTTTTGGAAAGCTAATTGAATTTTGTGGCATTTGTTTCACATCAAGTACAAAGTCTAGTATTGATCTGTATTCACCTATAACTGAATTACCTCTTTTCCCATAAAGATATATTTTATGTCTACCAGTGTGAATTGGTGCAAAATAACAACGATAAATTTGTTGACGTTTATCAAACATCATATAACTACCACCATCAATAATTTGATCGTTTAATTTTAAATCTGCCATGAGATGAACATCTAACGGCACTTTCAGAAATACTAGAGCATATGATTTACCAGGAATAAGATCGAGATGATATTGATTACGTGGACTAACTAATTCAATATTTAAATCAAAGTAAAGAGGATGAAGGTGAGGCATTTCTAAATATTGTGTCATTTTTATTGGACTTTGTAATAATTGCCATTTATCATCATCAGGTAAATGATGATAGATCATTTCATTAGGACGTGGAAAAAAATAATATGAATTTGGTTCATGTTGAAAAATACTCTGTTCATTTAAATATCCAGCACCCCATGTTGATTCTATTAAATACCAATGATGATCAATCTCAACAGCATTCCATGTGTGATCAGTTTTATTAGGAGCATCTATACGATTCTCAAATTCATAACCTTTAGCATATCCACTAATTACTTGGCATGACATTTGTAATTGATCGCATAAATATTTATATAAATTGGCATATCCAACAGAAACACCTTTTCGTTTTCGAAATACTTTTTCTGGTGATTGATCATTACATTTGCCACTAATATATGCTCCAGTATCATATTGAATGTTACAAACAATCCAATAAAATATAATCCAATGACTGTCAACAATTGATCTTTCTTTGGAAAATGCTTTAATGATGTCCGTAAGTTGTTGAAGAGATTTTGGTTGGCATGATTCGATCACTGATTGATAAGAGCGATTGTCAATGGCTTGTTGACGTTGTTGAACAAATGAATTATTGAATGCTTGTGAATCAGCAACTAGAATTGGAATATGATCATCTCCACGAGTTAGGTTAGCAATGATAGCATCATCATCATCAGCTATAGTTTTCTGTGAAAGTATGGCGTCATCCTTGTCATAGTCATTGTCATCATCATCATAGTTAAGACGTCGATCTATTGATCGATGTGTTGCACTTATTTTACTATTTTTACAACCCATCTTTTATTTTCACTCAATAAAAAGTTTATCGAACAAAAAAGAGAAAATTTATTGCTTTTTGTTTGACTTATATGTCTCATGCCTTTATGTAAGGCTGCACCATGGTAGAAAAAGAAGTTGCAATTGATGGTAAGAATAAATTTAAATGATTTGTTATTTTTCGTTGGCAATGCTTTTAAAATATGGTAAACAGCATTATTAAAATAGAACCAACTAAGAACAAGCAGCAAAGAAGCATAACATTGAATAGTAAAAGTCATCAGCATTTTTCGTTTATTAAATGCAAGTTGTACAAGATATTATTTTTCGTGAATTAGAGTGTGGGGTGTAGGTGTCGGTGTAGATGTATATTTTGTTAAGCTCACACCCACACCTACACCCACATTGATTAAACTGGTGAAATTTGGTATATATGAGTAAACTTTTGCATTGAAAGTTTTTCCAAGTAAGTCGTTTTCGCGGGACGTAAATTTCAAAATACTGGTTTTTCTCTCAGACGCTCATTTCGAAATTTTTCAAACATATGATCGATCTTATTGACAACGGCATCTTCTAATGGTAACTTTACAACGACAACTACATCGATTCTGAAGCTTATGGAAATAATTCTATGAGTCACATTAAGTTCAGAACTCCATATAATCATATTTTTTAGGACGTGTACCCCATTGTCGAGATATTATTGTTTACTCAAGGATGAATAGTGGAATCCTAGAATTCATAATTCCCTATGTTTCTAGGATTTCTTCGAATTTCACAGAATTCTATAAAATTTCCTAGATTTTCGTAGAATTCCATAGGATTCCATGGAATTCTCTTAAATTTCATGACATTCCTAAGGATTCTCAGTAGTCGTCGAAGAGGCTATAAAGAGCTATTATCCGTGTCACAACAGCTTTTCCTGTTAGGGTGTAGAGTGGGGATGTGGGTGTGTGTGGCTGTGGCTGTGGGCCTGGGTTGGGTGTGGATGTGGGTATGAGTGCCGGTGCAGGTATGGATGAAGAGAACAGTAACACGCAAACCCACACCCCACACCCACACCCTGAACTAATTTTTCAAAAGTAAAACCGAACCGAACTCGATTCAGAAAAATCCAATTCGATTCAGTCTCTGGCTAGATCCTTGTTCTTTTACAGTGCACAGTGGAAACTAAAATGGCCTGGCATTTCACTAGGGTGGCAAGAGGTGTAAAATCAGAGAAGTTTCAAGAAAAAAACCAGTTGCTGTGCCAGTGAGTCTGAGAAAAGAAGACAGACAGTTCGATAAAAATCTTCGATTATCGTTTGCACACACACGCCCATAGACCGTATTTCGGCCGCATCGTGATGCGAACATCAGGCGTCACTTTTTGACCAGGTTCCAGCTCAAAAGTACATCTTTTTACTAGCATGGCTAGCATCACTTTGGCTTCGAGCAACGCAAAATTTTGTCCAATACAATTACGTGGTCCGGCGGCAAATGGTAAATAGCAGAAAGGATGAGCTAATTTCGGTTTGAGACCTGTAACTGGATCACGCATCCATCGAATATAGTCGAACTCGAGCGGTCGTGGCCAAAATTCGGCTCGTCGATGGAGCACATAAGTATTGATCGTAATGGTTGTATCGACAGGAATACGCAATTGACGAGAGCCTTTACTACCGACTGTGTGTTCACGTATACAATATCGACCGAATAGAGGTGCCGGAGGATAAAGACGCAGAGTTTCTAGCAAGACGGCTTCGCACACCACTAGATCACTCATATGTTCATAGGTGAGTTCGACGTCATCTGGAAGTACTCTATCAACCTCGTCACGACAGGCGCGTAACACTTGTTCGTTCGTCATTAATACATACATAACCCATACGATAAGATTTCCTGTTGTTTCATGGCCAGCGAGCACAAAAGTCAAAGCTTCATCCTTAATCTCTTCATCGGTAAATGATTGTCCTTCGGTATCGACACTTGACAGCAGTAGGTCAAGAAGATCGGGACCTGAACATAAACTTTTCGAACGACCATGCCGTCTATCAGCAATAATCTGCTCGACAAATTGGGTCATTTTATGAGTACCTTCATCCACAATTTTCTTACGCCAAAAAGGCAATCGTGCCATGAGAGGAACTTAATTGATCATACGCATGGTCCGATATTCGACCGCTTCAAGCACAACAGTAAATGCTCGACACACAATATCTTTGGCATTGTCAACGGTTTCAAAGCCTTTGCCAAAGGCACATGATGCAATGATCGCTAACGTAAGTGCACTTAACTCTGTTTGCAAATTGACTGACTTTTGGTCAGTGGAGGCAAAGAGTTCGTCAATGGCCTTTCTCGTCTGATCGACCATAATGAAGACCATGGATTTAAGATTGATAAAATGAAAAGCAGGATTGATCATTTTACGAGCTCGTTCATGTTCTATTCCATTACTCACAAGAAGATTGTGTACGCCGATGAGTGGTTGGAAAACAGTAGTATTTATAGCTGTTTTTGAATAGTCTTCAGCGTGGGACCGGCCAAGAATATCAGCGAGCATATCCGGCTCAAGAACGATGAGTTCTACTAATGGACCAAAACCATAAAGAAAGACATGTCCGTGCTTTTGAACAAGTTCATCGTAATATTCCATGAGATTATCATTAGTTCGCGCGCGAAGTAGTTGAGGCACTTGACCAACTATAGGCACGAACGGTTCACCCGGAACGTTTTGACTACGAAATGCATCGTATAAACGTTTCTGAGGACGAACTAATTTCCAATACACGATTAAAACAATCAACAGAGTAATAGACACAAATATGCATAAAAACAGAAGAAATGTCATGTTATAATGATAGTGCTTGTTGAGAGTAATCTATACTAAGAGCAAATGGTGTCCTACATGTTGATAAGACAAAGAAAAGGATATGTCATAAAAGAACGACTTTTTCTTTTCTTTTCTTTTCTTTTCTGCTATGAGGCTGTTTCGGTCGTAAAAAAAACATAGAAGAATGTATTTTGCTTGCTGTCGTCACATGGCTCGATGTATGTGAAACAGAACAGCTATAGGTTTACTGTGATACTCCATACTTTTTCTCTGCGACATTATATATCCACACAAGGGTCCTGAAAAATGCCAACAGCATAGCTGTAACAACTGGTATAGGATTTAGCCAACAGAATTCTCAGTTCTTTACTTAGCTAAAATACTCAGACAGTCAAGATTGTCAAAAAAGCACGTTTAAACGCGTTAAGATCCCATAATAACACCGTTTTAACAACAATATGTCGTTAAAACGACGTTATTACGAATTTTGATATGCGTTTATTAAACGTGTTAAGAAGGTACGAACCTGTTAAAACAACTATATTTTCTGATATTTATACGTTTTTATCAGTTGTATCCGCAGTTTTTAGTAGTTTTTAAGTGTTTAAAATTCCAAGTATGTTAAAAATCGAAAAATCAAGCTGAAAAATGCATTGTTGCTCGTTTTTGTTGGACTAATTTCACTGCATGAAATACGACCTCGTAACTTTTTTTTTAACAAGATCAAATACGTTGCATGCAACTAATTTGCTTTCTTAAACACAGTTAAACGTTCAATCTTTTGCAACTGAAAAATACATTTTTTAAAATAACTATTGTGAATAATGACTTAATTATACATCCGAATGCCTTAGGGATAGGCATGAAAACTATTTTAGAAGATGATATTACAATGATAGAGCGATATGTTCATTGAATGAAAATCGTTAACGTATTTCCTTCGCGTAGATACAAAAGTTTGATAATAATATGAATATTTAGGATGTGGGTGTGGGTATGTCAAGGTAAGTTGAAACCACATCCACACATCCTTCCCCCCACACCCATACCCCACCCGCACCCACATCCACATCCACACTCACACTCACACCCACATCCCCATCCACACTCACATCCAATGCATCAAATTAAAAATTTCCTTCTTCCATTATCGCATTACTATGACTAATTGTATCATTTAATAAGACTAAACTAGGTAATGAACTGTATAAATTTAAGCGGATGAATTCATAAACTTGTTTGCCTCCCAATATATATAAAGAAATCGCAAATTTTTTAACTAAATCATGATATCTAAAGTGGTTGTCTGACCTTGATAAATTATTTGTAACATTATCAATAAATATTTTTAAAAAAGCTTGTTAGCGCAGCTCTTTTGGAGCTGAAATGTAAAACTCACATATATCCTTAAACTTTAATATTCAAATGCATCACATGTAAACTGAAAAATTTCGTGTACACTGTAGTTGTTTTCATTGATAACCAATGACAAGAGCGAGCCTTTGTTATTTATGTCTACATTTAAAACAGAAATTTTTTTGTTTGAGAGTACCCTATTTTTATTTTGCATTGTTGCTATTCGCTCATTATCTTTCATTTTTTAAAACTTTGAATCGTTTTTTGTAACTCAACATTCTTATTATTATAATCATTGAATTAATTGGCAAATAAATCTGCTTTATACATCCATGATATCTACAGAGGATCTTACGCACTATTATATATATATATACAGGGTGGCCCAAAAGTCACGCACCCGAAAAAAAATTGAATATCTCTATTATGGCTAGAGCAAACTAGCTGATTTTTTTATCAATACTAGAGGCATGTTCAAGCTTTATATCAAGAAAGACATGCCTAGAGAAGTCCTTTGTTAAGTATCACTATTAATCGCAACAAAAAAATTTTATTCTTTTTTACAGATGAAAAAAAACAACATACTTAACAAAGGATCTCTCTAGGCATGTCTTTATGGATATAAATCTTGAACATACCTCTAGCATTGATAAAAAAATCAGCTAGTTTGCTCGAGCCGTAATGGAGATATTCAACTTTTTTTCGGTAAAGTGGCCCTTACGCCATCCATTACATTGTTTTTTTCCATCTGTGAAAAATTAAAATTTTTTGGTTAAAGTCAATAGTGACACTTAAAAAAAGGGTTCACTCTCGCCTTGTCTTTATGGATATGGAGTGTAAATATGCGTTTACTAGAGGTAAAAAAATCAGCCAGTTTGCTAGAGCCGTTATGAAGATATTCAATTTCTTTTCGGGTGCGTAACTTTTGGACCACCCTGTATATATATATATATTAATCAGCTCACAAACAATAATGTCGATGATCTTTCAAAATTATAACTTGATCAAGTTTTTCAAAAAAACTAGAAAGTCTGACCCCTGTTATTCTTAATTGCTAAGGTCTGTAATGCGGGATGTCTGTAATGGGGACCCACATTGCTATGTGTCTGTAATGGGGCCTTACGTTACTATGTGTCTACAATGGGGAAGGAGGAGCCGCGAAACTTGAATTTAAAACTTACACTCACTATTTTCCTCAAAAATATATGTGAGTTCCATAAAACGAGTGTTTATGATCATTATCCTTTATATTATCAATATATTGATACCACGAAACGAATGAACGTAATAGTGGATGATTATTGACGAACTTGATGTCGAGCTGTTCTTGATGATTATTAGTTACCAAAGACCCTTGTACTTCCTTTTTTACTTTTAATAATTTTAATACATATAACAAACTATTTTTCATTCCTGTTTTAACAAGAAATTTTTCATATTGCAATTTAAATATTATCTATTTTTAATATCAATTAGTTTTTGTAAATCGTATTTAAAAACATCAAAAAACTTCAGTGGTGATCATTAAATTGTCTGCTGAATTAATCGATTGTATTTTCAGAATTTCACAAAGTCCTTCTCCAACAGAGCTCAAAACCGAATCGAATAAACGAATGATTCGATTCAGCCAAATCGATCGATTACGAATTGAATGTCATCATAGTCGAATCGAATCGAATCAAATCGAATAGTTCTCTTTTTTTTCGAGTCGGATCGAATCGAATAAAGACTGTAAAACAGCGAATCGACTAGAATTGAATCGAATTGACCAATGTACTGGTCGAATCGAATCGAATCAAATTTTTTGTCGCTCATTCGGTTGACAACGACCTCTTTTTTTTCTTATATATCATTATGGACGAGTGCATATGATTTCATATACAAGACAACCGTAATAAAGAGCGTGTTATCTTATTCATTTATTTTTCTCTTTCAGTCTAAACGGGGGTCTAATACCAGTGATTGAATTCTAGATAAATTTCACAAATACCTATGTTAAACATTGACGATACTTCATCATCTGCTTCTTCCTGTGCAACACCAACTCGTACATCATCTTCGACGACATCAACTTATTCAACATCTTCTATTCGACAAGCATTAATTGAAGATAATGCTAATTTTAAAGTAATTTGTAATAAAAGGAACCGAGCAACGGTATCTTGCTGGAATACGTTCGGTTTTCCAGCAAAAGTAAAGGATGTTAAAGTAAAAACATATGAAGTTATACCTGGTTTCGTTTCATGCAGAACATGTTTTGATACGTACAAATATATAGATTCCAGCACAGCTAACTTATATGGTCATCGTTGTCACCTAAATGAATCATCTGATCAAACTAGTATTACTTCATTTGTTCGTTCTCCTCGATCAGCAAATAATCTTTCCAAAAGTCAAACAAAAAAAAGGAGGATATTAAAAAATTATGCACAAGATGGATTGCTGGTTCGATGCGTTCATTTCGCATCGTTGATGATCCCGGCTTTAAACGTATTATACAAGCATGTTTGGACATAGGTAAATTTTAAATTCATATACAGTCTAATTTGCTTATTTTTATCTAGGAAGAGAATGTCGTGATGAATTAAATCTGGCGGCGGAAGGTCTTCTTCCAAGTGATCGCACCGTTAAAAATGAGCTTCGAAAATTAGCTTATGATATGAAAAACAAACACAAATGTGTATTATTAGAAGCTGTAGCAAATAAAGCTTTAACAATTAGTCCAGAATACTGGACCGACAAATATGGTGGCATTAATTACATCGGAGCAACTGTACATTTTGCTGATGAAAATTTAAATTATTTTTCAATTGATCTTTTTTGTGTTGAGATTATGAATGTTAAGATAACGGGTGAAAATATATATCGAGTAAGTTAAGCTGCAAGGCTACTTGAGAAAAAAACAGTATGGAAACTTTATCACGCCTTTTATTATTGTCTCGACCTTTATCAGCAAAATCTGCTTGAAATACTTAATCTCTCAGACGCATTATTATATTTTTGTCTTTGAAAGATTATTTTAACATATTTTAGTTAATGGAGAGTCAATTTGCTCAATTTGGACTTGATCAACACATGGACAGCATTACTTTTGTTACTGATCGTGGAAGCAATTCCATAAAGGCTTTTCGATTAAATAAAGTTTTATTTTGTGTGACACATAGATTAAATAATATTTTAAAACGATGTTTTTATCAATATCCAACAAAAACCAACACAATTAAGTTATTAAATACTTCTACTAAATCAAATACAACTATCACTGAAATTCAAGAAACATCAAAAAAGAAAAAGATAAATCTACAATTAGTCTTGAACCATCATCAGAAATCGAAGATTTTACGGAAGTTATTCGTGAAGATGAATCGTAAGTTTTTTTTATCATTCATTTTCTGTCAAATATATACCTTGATACGAATATCAGATAAAAAAAGAACAAAAAGCGCAATTATTTTTTTTAGAGATGATCAAGAACATGAAGATGATGATGGTGATTTTGATGATAACCATGATTACAAAGATTTAGCTATTAATCAATTACCAAATAACGTTCGTGAAATATTAACTACAATTAAGGACTGTAAATCATTGGTTAAATATAGTTAAAAAGTATGTCAATTTTTCTATATATTTGATTAATTTTTTCCCTATTTTAGAGTGGTTTGAATCGACAATTGCAACTTTTGCAAAAACAAATCTAATAATGAAGATTCCGATAGAGATGCAAGCACAAAAGCAAGTGAAAAAAGAACTCTTCATCAATCATCCATCGTTCGATGGTTATCACTTTGTGATCTTTTGGAGAGCATAAAAAATGCATACCCATTTCTAGTTATTTTGCTTAATAATAATAAACAAAATTACCGCACACAGAAAATCAATATGGATATTGTAGAAAAATTAATTGATTTTTTTTATCCATGGAAAGTTGTTCTTAATGAATTACAAAAAATAAATGGTCCATCGCTCTTTCTTGTCATTCCATGCATTACCTATGCTCGATATGAATTATCAAATGGTGATTGTAAAGAAAGATCTGGTAAGACGAAATATGAGTTCTATTTGTGAAATATTTTTCTTGATGTCGATTCTACTAAATTATGTCTACTGTGCATATAAATAAAATCACTTGACCTCAAGAAGATATTAAAAGGCTGATGATGATAATTTATTAGATTTGCAGAGATGAAAAGTTTAAATAAGTTATGTTTCACTAGTGGAAGGGTAGACTCAGTTTCGATAATGATGATTTATATTGCGCTGCTATATTTATTTTTCATATAGCCAGCTTCACTTTTTTTAATAATCCCTATAAGCTACGAAGAGTACTATCTTTGTCAGTACTGTTTTAGATTTAAACTTACACAATTAATACATCTTTATTTGTAGGTATGAGATTCTTTTACAAACGAGCATTGCAGTTATTATCCAGTATGTTTAATATGAATGAAGATTATATTGTTGGAGCTTTTCTACATCCCAATTATAAACAACTTAGAGGTGCAAATAGTACGCAAATTTCAGATTGTTATACAACATGTCGTCTCTTTATCGGACCTTGTTCATCAAGTACTGAAACAAATGAGAGAATCTACGAACCACAAGAAAAAAAAGCAAAAATATTTATGTCAATGTTAATGGATAAACAAAAGAAACAACAATCTACATCGGATGAAGTTGATCGTTATATATCTTTAGTACTTGATGAAGATAAACAATATGAAAATCCTTTAGACTTTTGGAAGAAAAAAGAAAATCAAATAGCTTTTCCCTATCTCTCTCGAATGGCTAGAAAATATTTTTCAATTCCATGCAGCTCATCTGCTGTAGAAAGACAATTTAGTGCGACAGGTCAAATTATTACTCAACGACAAAGCAGCCTGAATCCATTAACAGTCAATGATATTATTTTTCTTCGTTCGATCGAGAACAAATATCCTTAAAGTTTTTTTTATCTATCTAAATAGGCTTCATTATATGTGCTTTTTTTTCTTGTAAAAATAAATAATTATTATTGATATATTTAGAGATCATCAAAATTATATTTTTATAGAGACGAATGAGAAAACAATTATCATCACGAGGAGACAATATTGTTGAAAAAGCTATAGTAATTTAAAATAGATAATATGTTTTTTTTACAGAATCTAAACCGAATCGAATCGAGTATAAAAATTTGGAAATGAATCCGAATCTAATCAAATACAGTAAAACTTTTATCGAGTCGAATCGAATCGAACCGAATCTAACTTTTTTCAGTTTTCGCGCTCTGTTCTCCAATTAATGCCGTTATTGTTTGAAAAAATTCATCACCTTTCAAAGTAAAAATGTTGTTTGGTAATAAAGATGTGCCAAGACACATGCTGGCATTTATTTTAATATTTATATCGAGTGATAATCTAAATTCACATGATCTAAAATATTCATGATATTTGCTATATGATAATTATTTTAATAGAAACAATTATGCTTCTGAAAAGCTTTTGTAATTTTTGGTTATAGTAGAGTAACAACTAGCTGTAACGGAAAATTGAGAATAAGCGAAGAATACGATGCAGAAAGATTGATGGTCGCGTTGTTGGATCACGCATTTTAAGGCCTTGCCTTGTTTATTATTTCTTCAAGCTCAATTCCATTACTTGTTGTACGTAATTTTATTTCTTTCTCAATATTAACACACATTATTATATATTCATATATATCTTACACCAACTATGTATATCATCCAAAAAGATGTGCAACGTTGAGTGTGTTGTATTCTTGACATTGCGCGATATCGATTGTGAATATTCTCGACTGTTCTCTTCTCTTCTCTCTCCTTCTCAACGATATGTCCTTGCATCTGTTTGATGCGGTAATCTCTCGGAGTGAAGAGAGAGCATTGAGCATATATACAGTGAATAGCACAGCGATTACAAAAGTATTGAAAAAGTATTGAAAAAGTATTGAACACTATGAACAGTATTACATAAGGATACAAGGTTGACATCATGCAAGGATGATATGAAGTAAGAGTGAAATAACGTAAGGATGATGTCACATACTAGTGATAACAAGTCGCATTGGTGTATCTTTTGGCACACTAGCGTAAATATTTAAATTCAAGTATATATATGTCGTATCGAAGTTACACCGGTCGACGAAGTTATAACTTCGTCAACATTCTTGACGAAGTTATAACTTCGTCGTCTCATATTGACGAAGTTACAACTTCGTCGTATAAATGTGACGAAGTTATAACTTCGACGATGATCGTCATCGAAGTTACAACTTCGACAGAGAAATTTGACGAAGTTA